AGGACTAAGATGGAGTGCCCTTTTTCCAGTAAAAAGGGTCTCCGGTTCTCAACACTCACCATACGAAACACATCAGTGTTGAGCTGATATTTTACGCCGGTATTCTGTGAGTGCGTGGTCCTTCCGACCCATTTGTGCTATAACTATACTATTAATATAGCTGCAGCATGGCTCTACCACGTAGAAAACGCCTTGTGCGAATCATTTGCTAAATCTATGTGGAGTGTACTCACTTAGGGAGAGTTAATTCAAGTTTAATTTTTTTTCGGAACAGTTGAAAGAATTTATAGGTTCTTTTCATCATTCACACGTCAATGGGAAACTTTAATAAAAAGTGTAGGCGTATCCGTCAAAAGACTCTCAGAGACAAAATGAAATGCTTATCATGACGCTGTTAAACCACTGCAGAATAATTTTAAAAAACTAGTATAAACACTCGATGATATATATGTTCCCAGCATCAACAGAGAAAACGTCGATACAAAAGAAGCAGTATCTACACTCTTACCAGCTTTGTGTGACTTCAGTTTTTTATGCTATCTTTCCTTTTGGTGTAAAATCCTAATAGAAGTTAGTCGGACACAAAAGCAAATACCAAATAATATAATAATAATCTAGATTATCACTGGAAAAGTATGAGATAAAAATCAAAGCCCAAAATTTTTTCTTCAAAGCTAACGTATTCAACCAGTGGAAAAAGCTATTTCCTACATAACAAAAAATGTGAGAATGTGGACACTTCGATTGAATGAAGAAGAAGAATGAGCAGATTTCGAAAACGTTTACCAGGAGAAATTACCCGATATGCTGCACTAACATTGTCAGAGGAGCTGCAGTGAGCTATGTTAGAATGTCTTGACAGATTTTACGAGAAACTAGAGTATCGCTACCGAGCAATGGATGATATTCTCGTAAAATTTTGTGTTGTTCAGCCTTACACTCCGCTAACGTCACCAGATGAATATCTTCAAATAATAGTTCAAAATCTGACATAAATCTACGATGATTTTTCTGCAGGATATATAATTTTGGAGACTTCACAACTTGAAAGCTGCCAGCATTTCTTCCCAAGAAGCAGTTCAATGTAACTCAATGGAGCTTTTCTTGTAAAATTGGGTTATTCTGAATCTGTTCCGAATCTAACGCTGTGTCTAAGATTTTTTTTTACTATTAAGTTTCATGTGAAGGAAGCTTATCAAAACTAAAGTTAATAAAATGTAACTTAAGGTCCACAATGAGCCAAGCGGGACTAACCAATCTTTCCATTTTATCATCGAAAATGACAAGAAAGTAAACTTTGGTAATATATTAGAATATTTTAGCAAAATAAAGTCCCGCTAGCATGTATGACATTTTTTGTTTTATTTTGGGGGTGCTTGATAGAAAACCGCCCTACGGTAAGGTTTGATACCGTAGAGAAGCAATGTTGTAATCAAAATATTAAACGGAGTTTAATTATAACACTATTCAGCACTCTCCATATTGAAAAAAATACGCATTTCGTTTTCCGTGATGCTGTATACACTAATAATATTCTCAGAATATTGTATCATGGACACTCTATTGGAAAGAAATGCAACGCCTAACTTGGTGCCTTTCATTCATTTCAAGGTCACTGATTTAGGAACGTTTCTGTAGTGAAGTGCGCACTTCCTATATTTTACAACCTCCTTGCATCTGATCCATCATTACTAAACAATGTATGAACAGTATCTTTTCTAATTCGCCTCCATTTCATATTTTCTCTAATAAATAAATCCAAAGTCAAATGCTTAGATCAAATACGACTATGCCTTTTAGATGTAAAATTTTGTGTAACAATACGATTTAGCCGTTTTACACCTTCTTTAGGAAATCTGCAAAATAAAGGTATCAACAACATTTTTACATCATAAGTATGATGCCAACCCGCTCGCCAAGCGTGGCAACTATGGCAAATACCCCCCATGGTGAGAGTAACAAAGAGACGGCCCCCAGTCCCCGGCGGCCCCGCTATTCCTGGCTACGGTGGCGACCATAGTAACGGCGGGACAGGGCCCCACAGGAAGTAGACCTGGTCGAGCCCCGACGGTTCGACAAAAAATGAGATTGACTTCATTATGACGACTACACGACAACTATTCAGTGATGTCTCTGTGATCGCGAGGGTGAAAACTGGTAGCGATCACCGAATGGTGGCATACTGAACCTAAACGTTAAGTTGGAGAGGTCTCGTCTAATGAAGTCAACGCTCCGTCCACCTCGTACTCTTTTCCAAAGTCCCGAAACCTTTCAGCTCGAGTTACAAAACCGTTTTCAGTGTCTAGAAGACCGCAATGAAGTGGACGATATGAATGACAAGCTCATGGAAACTGTCCATGCGGTCGGAGCTAAGTTCTGCAAGACCCGCCGCAGAAGAACACAAATACTCTCCGATCACACTCTTAATCTCATGGCTGTTAGACAGGAGATGACGCTGCAGTCTTCAGCAGATTTGACAGAATACAGGCAATTGAACAGACAAATCTCCAAATGCAACGTAATTTTAATACAGCTCGTATTGAAGAAGTGATCGAGCGGAACCAAGGCTTCAAAGTCTTTGCCAGAGATCTGTCTGCCAAAAAGAGCCAGCTTTCAAAGCTGATGACCGAGTGTGGCAGCATCGTTTCCGGGACATGTGAGAGTTTGAGTGAGATTGAGAGGTTCTATGGGCAGCTGTACACGTCATCGTTGGAGCCACACGCAAGTTTGAGTAACAATCCAAGAACGAGTCTTATCAGACACTATTCCGAAGATATCCCGAGTGGCAGCCTCGTACCGGTGGGCGAAGTGTAGGGCGACCTCCCATTAGATGGAGTGACGACCTGGTAAGACATGCAAGAAGTCGATGGATGCAGGTGGCTCAGGACCGTGCTTTGTGGCATTCCTTGGGGGAGGCCTGTGTTCATCAGTGGACATATGAAAGGCTGTAATGATGGTGATGATAAAGTATGATTATGATAAATTCCCGAATAATCGCTAATTTCTCTATTGAAATAAATATTACGACTGCTTTTTCTACATAACGCTACAAAGAATTTTGATCCTTAATTATATTAGCTTATCAGCTCACAACTATTTGTTTATTAGAATAAGGCTGACAAACGAGCACACAGTCCACCTGATGGTTAGTGGATATTGTGGCTCATAGACATCTACATTTTTATCCTCGATTAAAAATCAAAATTTAAATGTGTTGTCACCCCTGAGGACTAAGATGGAATGCCTCGTATCCAGTATCCAGTAAAAAGAGTCTTCAGTTCTCTACACTCATCATACGAAACACATGACGTTTATTCTGTGAGAGCGTGGTACTTCCCCAGTCGCACTGACTTATTCGTGCTACAACCATAATATAGGTGCAGCATGGCTCCACGTCCAAAATCTATTTATATAACACATTATTTATAAAACATATTATTGTTAATTGAAATATGTTTAAAAAAAAGTCCCGCTGGGTTTCTTGCTGGTTCTTCCCAGGACCAGTGGTAAATAAAAAATGACTTTCAATAATATTATGTAATAATCAATATTGATTATAAAATCATTCTATTCTATTCATAACATAACAGAAACTTCATAACATAACAGAAATAAAATATTTCAAGGTCGTTTTCTTGCATTTTTTATGCCATTCGAGAGTGCGGGTTCCAGTTTGTACGAAGTACGTGTATTTCCATGACCACGTTAAACGTTTATAGAGTTCGGCTATAAGAATTTTGTTATAATTTTAGGACTTTATGCTATTAATTACAGTAATCTATGTTATTAATTTTTTGATTTTGCATTTGGCGAAATTTTGGCGGGAACTTGACCGACGGCGATTTGCTGCTCCTGTTTTTTTTTATTTAAATAATTAAGTTATTGTTTGAATAATGGTTTGAAATGGATTTTGATATGTAAAAGTGGTGCGGTTTTGTGTATTAAATGTCTGCGCATGTGAACTATTAGTGGAAACAATGAAACAATTGCTCCGATACCGATAGTGATGTGATTCTCAAGATAAGGTGTCTGTCTGCTTAGGCGCCTTGAGATACCATCGTCATCTGTCTGTCTGCTGGCTCAAGTTGCCGTCAAAATCTCCCAAGGGCTGCACAATGTGACGCATCAACATATTGTGAAGCACTGTATGTACCATGAAGGATAATTATACATGGTAACTTCAGGCTCAGAAAAGCTAGAACCCAGAGTCGTAAACCCAGTTATAAAACAAAATTAGCCATTGGCAGCCGTAGATAAACATAGACATATAGATAAAGGATAGCCGTAGATAAGATACTATGTCTATGTTGGCAGCACTAAAATCTAGGTAAACGTAGTCGTTATATTCTCTCTTTGGCACTATGCACTAAAAAAAAAGCGTTTAGCTGTCACCTGTCAGTTTTAAAGCCCCGGAGAGTTTTGGCGGGAACTTGATCGGCGGCGGTTTGCTGCTCCTGTATAATAGTTTAAATAATAGTTTGAAGTGGATTTTGGTATGTAAAAGTGGTGCGATTTTGTGTATTAACTGTCTACACATGTGAACTATTACTGGAAACGGTGAAACAAGTGCTCTGATGGTGATGGATTCTCAAGATAAGCTGTTTGTTTGCATAGGCGCCTTTAGATACTATCGCCAACTGTCAGCTACCTGCTGGCTCAAGGTACCGTCAAAATCTCCCAAGGGCTGCACAATGCGACGCATCAACATATTGTGAAGCAGTGAACTATGAAGGATAATAATTATACATAAAGACAAGGCTGTATGGCAAAGTTCCTTTGCCTGCTCTCTCGAGCGAATAATGAACGAACAACAACAACAATAAAGCCCCGGAGGTTATGGCTGGCTGAGAATTTTGCGACTTGATTTTTCTTTTACCTGAGGGTTTTACAGTCATTTACAGTACCTATATTCAGAGTATATCTTTTAAGTTCGCTTAGCGTTTACGTCTGACAAAGACAAACTAATTTGAATACGAATTTCAAATTAAGACTTAATTCAGATGGGTAAAAGAAAAAACAAAAATGCGGAGAAAAAAAAGAAAATTAGTTTAGTTTTTGATGAAAATAAAAGAAGGTAGGTATGCTCCTTATTATGTCTCATGATATTTTTCGTTTATATGAGCAAACTCAAACAAGAAGCGCTAGTTACATGTCATTGATGTAAAAGCCATGCTGAACTTATTGTTAGAATACGCTCTCACGCACACATTGGTAATGAAATTTCTATTAGTTTCTAATAGTTGTAATATCATAATTTATGTTGTAATCATCAGTAAACTTTTATAAAGAAAGTAGTAAAGTAAGATATATGGGCTGATAAGGAAAGTAGTAAAGTAAGATATATGTATGTCAAGAAATTGAGCTTAGTTTCGGGATTTCTTGAATTGTACAGGCTGTTTCATTTTATCTGTCTTTGTTAGTCTGGGAGCACATAGTAAGTTACCTTTTTTTTTAGGGATTTTCTATGTGGTTTTCGTAAGCGCAAACTGGAGAGAAAAAAGAAAGCAAAAGAACAAATGGAGCGTATGCTAAAGGAAGAAAAGAAGCGTATTAAGCAAGAGGTAATAAATGAATGTATAATCAGAAATGTAGTCTCTGCCTAAGAAAAAATTAATACTGTTCAGTTGTTGCTTTTAATTGAATCGATTGTTAATTGTATAGCATATAACACATTAAAATGTAAAAATAAAAATATATCATTTGATATATTTATATTATTTTATAAAATGATATAACCAAACTAAATGTTTCCACAATTTTATATATATAAGATTGCAAATTAAAATGTCAAATTCACATTTCAACTATTGTTCATAACTCCTACTGCATTACACTGAGTAACCATTTAAACTATATTTGCAAATCTGACTACAACAAAAGTGTTCTTGACTTTGTTTACAGTAATATTATATAAACAAGAAGCTCTAATAGGCATAATTTTATTTAATCTGGTATTTATTTAAACCTAAGACCTACTATTCAACTCACTCTTAACTATGTTAATTATAAAACATACACATATAAAATTTAAAAATATTTCTATAAATTATTACAGAATAAAGAATCTTACAAAAAGCTGGTGGTATCCTGCCGTCCAATACCTGATATTGAACAGTTGCTCCAAGAAGAATATGAAGATGAGGATGTAAATGTAAAAATAGTTGAATTGTCATCAGATACTCTACAAAAAAAAGATATAGTTATAGGGGATAACAGGCCAAAAGAAAATGTTAAAAAGGTATTGGAAACAAAGAAAAAGGAAGAAGATGTATTACCAATAATTCCAGGTATGGGATTAGGTGACGAAAGTACTAATGAAGTTTCAGATACAGAAGATTCCAAAGACACAAATATTAAAACGAAAAAAGAAATAAAGCAAATGCTTAAGAAGCAAGCAACTAAAAAAATACAAAAAAGTAAAGTATTCCAAATGAAGAGTAAGTTAGATAGAATACAGAATAAGAAAAAATCACAACAAAGAAAAAACCATGTGAAGAAGGCAAAATCAGATATGAAAAGAAATAAGTCAAAAAATAAAAATCATAGAAAGAAGTGAAACAAAGATAATAAATTTTTACACAAATTTTTATTATTTATTACAAAGATTTAAAAAATGAGAAACATGTTCAAAATACAATGTTTATTAGTTTGTTTGTGTGCGATGTAGAGGGGGAATTATTTTCAAAGAAAAAGATGGAGAGAAAACAGTTACAAAATATTATTATAAATTTTACAAACAATCCCAATTTACAAACAATCCCAATTTACAAACATAATCCTGTAAGTGTCTTAAATCATTTAAATTAATTATAAAAATAATTCAATATTTTAAGAAAGTAACTACTACTCATGTCAAGTGCAAGCATGCCCCAACATCAAGAATTGAAGGCCCTGTGTTTCTTTGAGAACACCCAATTTTGTATGTAAATATAAGACAAGACACTAAGTAATGGAAGATTTTTTCTTTTTTGCTTCTAAGTGAATCTTACAATGTGCTGCTTTGTGCATATTAGTTTCATTAGTATTATTTTTATTTCTAGGTGACTTCCTTCTTAATTGTACTACATTTTCCAATCCAACATCATTATGACAGGTTTGGTTGTTGGATTTAGACAATTGTAAAATATTTTGAGATGCACTTTCATTTTCAATTTGTACATTAGTTTGAACCTTATTTACTAGGGAAGAACTTACACCTAAGCTTTCACTTTTCACATTATCTGGAGACTGCACTGGTTCCTCTTTTAATTGAAGATTTAATTTTGTTACATCACTTTTCACATCTTCTTGACAGCTTTTCTTAATTGGTGACTTTTTACTTGGTGACCTGTTTAATTTTCCACTGGATGGACAAATGTCCTTATTAAGACAATTATTACATAAAGGCCCTAATGGTAAGCAAATAGTTTGACCAAACCCAACCATGAGGTGATTCACTTCACTCCATAATTCAAAAGGAAGCCATGACTCCAGAGCCTTACGTGTATCTTCTGGTGTAGCTGTAGGTTTTTTTACCCAACCAATTCTGTTACTAATTCTATGAACATGAGTATCAACACCTAAAAATAAAAGTTATTTAAAAAAAATTGGTAAAAGCCCCGTTCAAAAAGCAATAGATAGGGATTTCAAATGACATTAGTGGCATTAGTAACAAGGTTTAATCAATCAGAACCGAGTTGTTGCATACTCAAATTTTATACAGGGTTATTTTGCAATCACTGGTCAAATTTGCAGAGAAGGTTCAGAATAAGTAATATAGGCAAATGGTTAAGAAAAATTAATAAAAAAAATCTCACATTCTGTCCTTTATGACATTTAAATTCAAAATTTGTGGTGATGCATTATTTTAACTGATTTTACTGCACACGCACACATTAAGCAAGAGTCGATCAGTAGGCAAAAAAGTTGTTGCCCATAAATCACATTCAGTTTGGGACAATTCCAAATAAAATTAGAAGCCTTATTTACTCGTATTGTCAAAAACTGCAAGAATGGTATATCATTATTTATATATTTGAACTTAAGTTTAAAATTTGGCCACTGAAAAATAACCCTGTATACCAAGAGTAAGAAGTAAAATAAAATAAAGTCACCAGTAAATAAAAGTATCATATTATATCATGAATATTAAATGTCATATTAAGTGATGGATAGAAATTTACGATTTCATTTGGCTATTTTCTTAAGGTTGATTATGTATTATTGTAAGTAAACATGACACATCAAATGACTTACTAACCGATTCCTGTCACTTTGTTCCAAGCTACTTTCATACAAATGTGTGCCATTTTTGGTCCAACTCCCGTAAGTTTACAAAGTTTATCAACTGAGTCTGGTATGTCACCATCATACTGATCCTTTAAAGTTTGTGTTGTTTTCTTAATGTATTTCACTTTGGTCTATAAAAATTTGACTCAATTATGTACAATTTCCTAAAGTATGAGAATATTGATCTATCAACTACATAAGGGGAACAGTACTACAAGCATATGCCTGGTGGTGGTGGAGTTAGTGAATCTATTAGCCCGTTATCTCCCTTGAATGTTGTAAGAAGTTACTATGAGATAAAAATCTTAAGGCGCCAGGCTAAATTACACATACTGGCAATGGGAATCAGCAACAAATGTACAAAATCTGATACTATGACTGTCATGGCATGGTAAATTAAGATAAATCCTTCCTAAGACAGGAGAGATCCATGGTTTTTATGGGCTGATAAAGAATAGACAAGCCTAATATTAGGTACATATTCCTCAAAATTGGAAAATAAGAGAGTACACAGCAAGTGTATGTAGCCAGTGATGACATAAATCTAAGACAGGATCCTTCACTGCTGGTTGTATCAAGAAGTTATGGATCTATTAGCAAGCAGTGAAGATGGCTATGCTCAGAGTTTTATGTGACATAATACATAACAATAGTAGTAATCTTTCTTTACAAGAATATGCTTGTACAGTGGTGTTTGAGTATAATTCGTTCTACATATTGGTGGTGTGCAAATATTAACCAATAAGTCCAAATAACCTATTGTATATTGTAGTGTATACCAATACTTATATAATGAAGATATCTGCAGTAGAAACAGAATATCTGACATAGTCCAAGGGTTCAGTAAACTAGAGCGGCAGCCGCATACTGGAAAAGTGTAAGCCGCGCCGTGGAACGTGTTTTGTGGCATTACTTTGGGGAGGTTGATTTTTAGTAGTGGAATTGCAAACAGATGTAATCAAAAACACAGAGGTGCACACTCATACTAATCTAGTAAACTGCCAATTAAACTTAAGTCAACATTTAAGTTTTATCAATAAAGTTGAGGGTAAAGAAATACAGCGTCAGTACAGATCAATGATACGGCAACGATCACAATGCAAACCTAAAAACAAACTATGCTTAACATGCATAAATATTATCTCTGGCGGTTTCAAGCTCTGAAATCAAAGTATAATACTCTAGTTCCCTGACCATTAGAGAATGCAGTTATCACTAAAGTATGAGTATTATAAATTATTAGCAGTTTTACATACTTAAACAGTAGAAACTTACTTTCCAAAAGCCCACAGGGTAAATTAATTTGCCTAACTCATCATCACTCATGTCAAGAACATTATCTACTGTTAAACCTCTCTCTTTTAGTCTTTTCATAGCAGCAAAAGTCACCTGATCCTTTGTTTGACTTGACAACATAAGAGAAATTAGCGTTTGATACCTTATAACCTAGAACATAAAAAGAGTACATTCATAGTTAACAAAGGCTATTTCATCTTTTTTATAAACATTATTCTTAAATTAGATAGTAATGCTAAAAAATTATTAATACTCAAGTTAGCTGAAAAAGCTTTATCAGAAGTTTCACAACAGCAGTCAATTGTCAGATTCAAACCATCTGACATTTGACTTAGACATGGGACGAGTACTCGGTTTGGATTCGATATTCGGCAGATTCGGCCCTTTTTTTCGGCCGAGCTCCGAGTATTAACGGCCGACCGAGTACTTGGCCTGAATTATATTCCAGAGAAAAATAAAGACAAAAAGCCAGTTTTTATCATTATTATTATATTAGACACGTTAAAACATCAGGAACATGAGAAGCAGCAGAAATGTTTAGAACAATATAATTTCTATTATAGATTGTTATGTACATAAGAATCTATAATAGAAATTATTATTACTAATATTGAAAATTTAAAACAGGAAGATTGTGATGCAAAAACACTAGTTTTTCGGTCCTATTTGGGTATAGTTTGTAAGGGAAATAACCGCACACCGCCTGTTATCGCGTTTTTTTAAAGCCGAGTATTCGGCCCCATCTAGGCCGAGTACTCGGCGAATCACTACTTGTTCTATGTCTAATATGACTGCTGACTGCATCAAACATTATGATACTGTCACTTCAATGTCCAATTCCTTGGATATTTCATGGTAACAATACAGATTTGGGTAAAACTATAGACATCCGGTACTTGCATCCGAGGGTGGGGGGAGGGGTAGGGTTCAGTGGAAGCCTACCCTTCTCCTCTTGTAGAAATGTATTGTTTATGTGTAATATTTTTTTTTGTAAAACCATAACCTCACTTTTTTACACAGAAATATTGACTCAAAGTTACTTCTGCAACGGCTTCGGCACTGCGGGTAGTGCAGCCCCATCGCCCTTGCATAGTAAATGAAAGGCGACCCTGCTCACATCTACTGCATCGGCTTAATGGTCGCCTTCGGCGACCAGCCTCAGCCCTTATGGCTCACACACCTGCCTGTCATTTACTACAGCGGGCGGTGGCTGCTCTCCCTCCACGCCTATGGCTTTACAAAAACACTAGGGGTAGGGCAGACAAGACTATGTTTGCCTTTCTACTGGAAACGAGGCATTCTATCTTAGTCGTCACAGCTGACAATGCATCTGCACTTTAATTTGCAAACGAAGATAGATGTAGATGTCTAAGGGCCACAGCAACCACTTACGAAAAGGTGGACTGTGTGCTTGTTTGTCACCCCAATTCTATAAAAAAACAATTTCTGCCACAAATGGATTGTCTGGGGCTGAATAATAAACTTTTTTATGGGTGACCCGTTTCGTTATATGCAATTTTTAGTTAGTGAAATTTATTTTTATCGTAATTAATTCAAAATGCATTTTCGACATCCAAAAACAGTGTAAAAGGTTCCCTGCCAAGCTCAAGTTCCCTGTAAGCTTAACCCTGACAAGCCTACTAAACTAAAAACATAATTAAAATCAAGTACCAGACGTGCATAGCCAACCCCAGATTTGATAACTGATATTTGATTTATAAATAAAAAAATTGAAAAATTATAATTATACTTTAGGTGGTGCATTCTCATCCATAGTCATATGACAGCCCATTGAATCAACAGGTGCATCATTGTTGGATCGCATTGCCCTTAAGTTGTCCAAAAATTCTCTCCATTTAACTGGTTCCCATAAACCTTTGTGCTCCTACAACAGTTATCAAAACGCTTTATTAAGGAAGTTTAAGATAAATTTCAAATTAAAACACAATGCTGTGAACATAGACCTCTCCCATATATTGCAATTTTTTACTATTTATTATGAGTTGTATAAGGAGGATACTGCTGCATATCTCTTGTTTCATTTCTTAGTGGTTGCAGCCACTAGTCATGGGTTGTACTTGCAAAATTAAGTACTAGGACTTCCAAGTATGAATACCTTAAAATACCACCACCTAATGCCAATGTTCAAAATGCTTTCAGGTACTTTCTATTGAAGTTAAAAATAAATAGAATTGAACTCTTTATAGGAAATTTATCCAATTCTTTAATATAAAAAGGAGTACAATCAACTCTGCAAAAAAAAAATACTTCCAAGTTACTATACTTTTAAGTTTAACTTCCAAGGTCTAGATCTTACCTACTACTTGCATAAGAAATTGATCTCATATAAATGGAGCAAAATTGAATGAGCAGAAAAAACTACTCCAAAACGTTGAAGTATTTTGACTGATGACTAGGATAATGCTCCTTATTTTTAAGAGAACAGTTTAATTTCCTAAGGAGTCAAATTCAATCTGACATAGCTTACAACTCACAATAGGTACTTGTGTGTTCCACTGATTGTAGCCAAAGTTATGCTACAAATGGGTGATTAGCCAATTAAACTCTTTCAAGTCTCAAAACGCTCTACACCTGCATAAAGTTACAGACTAAAACATCCCACTCCTGGGCACAGGCCTCATCTAATTTCTGAGACGGTCTTAGAACAAGGAATTATCCACCTCTGTCTCATTGTTTTACTTGACCACCGAGCATAAAGTAAATCAGAAATTAAAATTGCAATTAACGATTTCATTACGCCTGCGAGCATTAAACCAAGCTTCCTCACATACTGTGAAATTTATAGCGAGCGAACACTAAAGGTGAGCCGAGCCAACTTTCATTTCATGCACAAATAACATTTCTGTTATTGGTGTATAAAATAAATGTAATTAATTATTAACGGCCGTGCACACTTACCGTATTTTCGATTGTTGTATCTTCAAACTCAATTTTAACTGTCTGTTTTTTTTTAAATTTGAATTTATTGAAATCCAATTTAATTGTACTTTGTTCATCGATATCTAATGGTTCTTGTTTTACACGTTTATCAGAATTCGTTACATTGCTGTCGGCTCGATTTTTAATATTTAACTCAAGATTATGTTGTATTGTTGAGCCACTTGCTTTTGTTCTTCCTCGCGGCATTTTATAATAATTTTTTTTTATATTAAACTATTTGAAGCTCTAATTATAATGTTATTATAGGGAACTTAATTGAACATTTATTGTAAACATCAAATAATTATAATAGATAGAAAAGCTTAATTTATTTTCGTTTCATTCGATGTTTTTAAATTTTAAGTTTTTCCTTCACCGTCATATTTTTTTATTAAGGTTTTTGACTTGGATGCTTGTTTTTTACTCTACATCAAAGAGTATAGTAATTGTCCTATACAGGAACTGCTCTACATACTACTACATCACAGAACACTAATACCTTTACTACATACTCCACAACATCATTAATTATTACCAATTACCACAGATCACAAACTACAATTAATAACAGTAAAACTGAGAACAAATTATCGGACGCGTCCGTAAGCCGCGGCTGACAGTCCTGGCTCCCTGGTATATAGTGTATTATCTATGGTCGCGGCTTAGGGGTGTGCACGGTAGTTAAGACGGCGTCCAGTGAGACCATATGTGGTAGGTTCCTGCCATTTTGGCAGGATTGGCCTCTTATTTTAGCCTCTGGCATGATCGGTTGACGTTTTATAAAACCTGGCAGTATTTGGCAGTATTGGGGTATTAAAAATAGATTTCATTATAGCAATTTAAAATGCCGAAAATTCATCCCTATTATAGATACTTCGCCAGCGTGTGGAGGATTTCCCTGTACTTCTCGTATTATGTTTGTATCATATTCAATAAACAACTTTAAAAGTTTGTATGTAAAGTTAATAATCTTAACACAAGTTTATGGTTAATATTTTAATCAGTCATTGAAGAGACGTACTTTAGTTTGGTATCGCATTAGATTTCATGGTGATAACATCTTGTTAATAATATGTATATTGTGGACCATAGTAATTATAGGTGGTGATGATGAAGCGAAAATATGAAAGGGCGTATAGAGCAGAGTGGGAGCAAGATCCTTTACTTTCTTCGTGGATCTACGAAACTAAAGGTGATCCAGACTGCAAATTGGCACTTCAGCTATCAGCTTTAAAAGAGCATGCCGCTACTGGTAAGCATGCGAAAGAATATTCTGTCAAATAAATTTAATTAAGACAAAAACTCGAAACAGATTTATAAACAAACATGTAGATTGTATGGCGATTGCATTGCATTCAAACCAACGAAAGATAGGTTTAAGTAAATTTAATGAATTTTTTTAGCCCTACAGCAGAAACCACACACGGTTTAGTTGCTGTGGTCTATTAACTATAAACTATTATCTTATAATAAAAACTAATATAGGTAATAATGGTAGATTTATATATTTATTAACTAATCACTAAGTATATTATTAATATGTAAATTTGAGATAAATCTGGTATAAACACATTAGATCAGGCAATTTACAGTAATTATGTTATCATTTAAGATACTATTAATATATTATACTAACTTATAATAATATAAATACACATACCATACCGACCATCTAGTTATTTAATTAGAAAATCTTTTAGTGTTCTTTTAGCTATTTTTACTTTATTTAAGATAGTGAGAGGAAGTTCGTTGAGTAAAGAGGGGAGCAGGTATTCCCACGTGCGCTTACCATAAATATTTTTTTTTCTTAGTTTAATACAATGGTAAATAAAGTTGGCAGTATTAGTAGTAGTAGTAGTAATAGGTTTTTAAACAAAGTAAGGCAGGATCTGTATTTTAAAGATGGTCACACTGACGGCGTCTTCGGGCGCCTCACTTCAGTCATTCTATAAAGGTGTTTCGATCGAGAAACACGACAAGCAGCGACAGCGAGGACGAATTTATAAAGCTAGCGGCAGCTGCCTTATGTTGTCCTCCAAAAAAAGAAAGTGAAAAGGAGTGTATGGGTCTATGATATTAATGTAAAACGACTCGAGTATAATGAATTTCATACATTGTATCCAGACTTTCAAAAAGATGATAAACGTTACAAAATGTACTTAAGAATTAATGAAAACCAATTTAATTTTCTGCTTAGTCCGATTGAAAATGATGTTTAATTCAGCAGCAATTTGCTCCCACACTTCCTGTTTTAAAGTAGCATTTATGTGGCCACGAACACATTCAATTAAAATTTCTTCGTCTGACATGTCGCGAGCGCGGTCGGTTCGTTTGCGACGCTCGAAACGTCCGCGGACGGTCTCGTGGCCTGTGCTTGGCCTGTGCACACCGTCCAGCCGGCTAGATTCTGTTTGGACGTCTGAACGCTCAAGGACGACCCAAGGGCACGTCCGCGTCTTACGACCGATAGTTTGCACAGTGTAGTATTAAATGTACTGGCTAGATTCAAATAAGCTGCGTCTGTCAGCCGCGGCTGACGGACGCGTCCGATAATTTGTTCTCAGCTTAAGTTTGCACTGACGGTAGAGAGAGAATACTCCCTCTACGGCACTGACTAATATATTCACAAATATACATGTTTTATATTATATTGTTTTCTGACAATGTATCAAATCGTATTTGCATAGTCAAAGACCATGTTCTAGTGAAATATGTATGACACTTTATTGTACAAACATATTTAAAAATATGTTACGCAAAATAAATGTTTACTAAAAAATTGTAGAAGTATTGTTATGTTGAAAGATAAGTTTGATGTTAATTTTGAATTTGTAGCCACTTCAAAAATAATGCATTCAAGTGATAAAGCAGCTTAAATGGCTCCCAATCCGCCTTCGCAGGAACACTCGTATCCTCTGTCTTCTTTTCAATATTCTACATAATCCTACAATTCCGCTATATCTAAAAAATCGTTTTACTTTTGTTCATTCTCCAGATGTACCATGTAGGTCAAATACTAGAACGTTACTAAGATTTCCGTCTTTCAATACCATGCTCTATTCTCATTCTTTTTCTGTTAACGCAGTACGGTTGTGGAATTTACTTCCCTTTAGGATTCGTGATGCTAAATCGGTGTCTAAGTTTAAAAGACTTGTTAAAGAGCACTATCATTCACTCCATAATTATTAAATCGTAATGTGTTGGTATGCATATAAGTAACATTAAAAATATATATTGAATTATACATATTTTTTTATAATATATAATATTTATTTACTACTGCCTATCTTGGTCAGCGCATATTAGCAACTTAACCTGCCGTATTAGAAAATTAATACCAATTTTAAGAAAATTGAGGAACTCAGCTGATTTTGAAACCTTGCTATGTGTTTATTATGCCCTTGCTCAGAGTTTACTACAATATTGCATTTTAACCTGGGGTGGAATTGGAAAGACAACTCTACTCCCCTTAGAACGTGCACAGAGAGCAATATTAAAGGTTATGCTGGGTAAATCACTAAGATATAGCACTGAACTTATTTATAAGGAATGTTCTGTACTTACTGTAAGACAACTATTTGTCATGTCTGTTATACTACGTAAGCACAAAAATACAGATTTTATACCTAATTTAAAACGTAACAAAAATAGAATTTGTAAAATGACTTTTCATAGAACTGCTCTAGCCCGGCGACAATATTATGTCATAAACAGTCATTTATATAATGTAGCAAATAAAATAAGCTATATTTACCCTATGTCCCTTTATAAATGCAAGGACAAAATTCTATACTGGTTGCTAAATCTTAATTACATGGAAACAGAGAGGTTAATGAATTTTTAAATACTAACGCACGCGCACACACACACGCACGCACGCACACACACACACACACACACACACACACACACACACACACACACACATACACACATACACACACACACACACACACACACACACAGAGGTTTGTGGTAATTAGAAAAAAAAATCTCTTTATTTTCCATATTTATTTTAACATGTCTGTGTATTGTATAGCGAAATGAAATTATTTTTGTACTACTTAGGGTGGAAGACGCTGACGGCTGTAACACAGTTTATACTAGTATGGCCGTTAACGCTAACTTATTTGAAATGTTATTTTGTAATTTAAAATAGATATAATACATCAGTGTAATTTGTCAAACTGAGAGTCCAATAAATTATTATTATTATTATTATTATTATTATATATGTATATACGTATATATAAGTTTGTATATATTTGTATACTATATGTATATTTATGCAAGCGCACACTTTGACTACCTCTATTTCCTTCAACTATCCTTCAATAGGCCTGCTGGAAGAAGTTTCATCATGGAATAAGCAGTGCTTTTGTACATAATTATGTTTTTACCATTTTCTTATCAAATTATGTTTGTACATAAACTGTTAAATAAATAAAATAAATAAATAAGTAAATAAAACTTCTTTAAAAGAAGTTTTAGTTTTTTTACCTACCAGTATGTACTTTTGTATATTATTATGTTGTTTTTTTTTTATTTCGAACTCTGGGGCAGGCAATCCAAAAAATACCACAAATAAATATTCCCAAAAAAGAGAATTTCAGGTAGTCTGACTATAGATACACTTACTCGGTATATATCATATTTATTTTATTTTATATGAAATTATCGTTCTTCTCCGCGAGGAGTAGTAATAGTGTTTTGTGGTGTTCAGGAACTTAATTGGATAATAAAAAAACACGTTTTAAAACAAATCACGAAACATAAAAAAACAACATAGGGAACGTTAACGTTGGCAGATCATTGGATAAACAAATAGAATGTCTATGTAGTTAAGTTTCGAGAGCGGTTTATTTATTTATTAATATTATATTACAATAATGTATTAAAACGAATTCAGTGCAATACTGACTTCCTTAACTAAGTGATTACATGACTACGATGTGTTCTATAATGTATCTTATTCTAAATGCAAGGGCTTTTATAGCATGGTCAAAACAACACTGTTGACTGAAAGTATGACGCCTTGGTTTGACCAGCAATAACAATTATATAGTAGAGTAGGCGTCTTCTGTAATGTCATACAGAATACACCTCATAACATGATTACAGTAATCCAATATCAAAAGCTTAATCGGCACAATTCGTGGTCAACATGTTATTGTAAAATTATAGCTACTTGCAATTATCGTGTTTACGAGTAATCTAATATCAAAAGCTTAGTCAGGTTAATTTGGGATCAACAGGTATTAACTCTATTTCCAGACTCCATAACTATGCTGTACTCGATGCAAACACAGACAACAAAAAATCTTAATATCTGTTGAAAATTTTACAGTTTCTGTGAATGCGAACGCGACCATCAACAAAACATGTTGTGTAGTCACACATATTTTATGTATTATTATGTTTCAAAAC